TATTCAGATTCAATATTTTATTAATCTATCTTATGAATATTATGTTATTAAAACAGTGTTTTTTATTAAAATTTAATAATGCGAAATTTTAAAGTTTTTTCGAAATTGATTTATGTAATTAAATACTTTGTGTATTGACTTTAACGATAATGGAGAAAAAAACCTCAAAAGTCCCATTTAATGTATTTTTATACAGTTTATGTGTAATGAGTCAGCTAAATTAATTTTGTTATTATACGTTCTGCAGTTCTAAAGTAAAAGAAATAACAATTGATATTGTTTTATAGTTTGTCTATTATCAGTTCGTTTTTTTGTTTTTCTTCGTGAATTTTTTCTCCTTTCCAACATCAATTAAATAAACGAATATCATATTTTATTTAATATAAACATACAAAGTGTTTTTTGTTTTGTTTTGATAAGTCTAATATCTGGGTAGAGTACGTGCTTTTATTGGTTTCTTTCTTTGGTTTGGCTTATGGGCAAGTTTTTGTTTTATCTTTATTTAACATCTGTGCATAAGGACTTATTCGTTGTAAGAACGGACTGAGTATCTTTCAACAGTCTGCGAAATAGTCTTTCTCGCTGTTCTTGATTATGAGTCTTGCAAAAACAACATTAAATTGATATGAAATAACATGTTTTCTGTAAGACCAAAAAGTTCATAATTTCTCATGAGCTCGATTTAAAACCAAATCTTACTACCTGAAAATGTTAAGAAAAAAAACCAAATATGATAAATGACGGGAGTTCAATGTACGCATTATTTTAGCCCGTTTGTGAAAGGGGGGTCGGTCTTGATTGGGACAGAAAACTGACAGAAAAATGGAGTCAAATTCATTATTCAGAATTTATTTTCTCATTGAAATTCGTTCAGGCTTGTAATCATGGTAATACTGGAGAAGAACGATTTTAAGGAGAAACAAAACTTTACTGTTTGAGTTTGATTATTTGAAAATCGTATTTTGATAAGTACGGCAACAAATACAGATAAGAACGGGCTTCATTCAAAACCAAATATTGCCTTATTAAAATGTTGATGACAAATTCCTTCTTCAGATTTTATTTCCCTATTCAAACTCGTTTGAGGAATTTATTACTCACTCATCGGTACAGCGGATATAGCTTAATAGGTACTTCGAAGGGTGAAAAGCTATATACCGTACATTCATTTAACTATGCACCGTACAGAAGGATTTATGTGGTCAGCTATACACTGTACACAACGCTTCTTTTCGGAATAAAATATCGAAAAATAACATTTGTATGAAAGATTTCAATGCCAATTATTGAAACAGCTATACTTATTACGTACACACAGTGCATGGCCTTCTATCAGAAAAAGAGTTGCAATATTGAATATAGAATCATATCGGATGAGACGAGCGCCAACTTCTTTGACAAGTATTTGTTTTAGTAAGCGTTCTTGTTTTAGGAAAATAATGAGACTTCTCTAATCATCAACCTACGACCAAATCATTTCTTAAAACAACAATTATGTTTAGATTGAGTACACATTGATATTATGTAAACAAAACAAAGACTTTCTTACCGTGTCAGAAGAAAAATCGATCAGGTTAGTACCTATATCCGCTGTACCGATGATACACGGTGTTACTGGACAAGAACGAGTGAAAAAAGCGACAGTGTCTTGTAAATATGTGGATACACTTTCAATAGTCACACACATATTTTATATACATTTATTTCGGGAATTATTTTTTAATTTATTATGCGCTCTATTGATGCCAGATTTTCCTTTTTTTACTATCAATGTTCAACCACACCTATATATGCATTCTTATATTATAGGACTTTCCTCGTAGATGAAACAGGGGTTTTATCCAAAAAGGACGTCACGTTTTGCAATGAATAAGATCTATATTATTTTTAACGTTTTCAAATGAAATGAATTGAATTGAAAATTTCCCGACTATAGACAAGACAAGACGTATACATGTACATATACGAAGACTTCGTTTGGATGTGACATGTCTTTAAAATTAATACAGTTGAAATAAGACTGAGAATGAAACTTTTTTCTGTTAACTATGTACCATAAATTTAGGTACATCTCTCTACGATTAATCAGTTCAGTTCAGTTCAGTTTCTTGTATATTCCTCCATTAATTGTGGAGCACTACCCATAGGGTATAATTGTAGCAACTATATACACCTTAGAACATAAGGAAACATTTAATTATGTACAGATGACTGAATTTAGGCAATAATAATTACTAAATAATTAATATTATAACTAATTCATAGGATTGTCATCATAAAATTTTAAAAATAATATTCATAATGTGCTGAAGTGTAAGAATAAGTTAAGTAAGAACTGGATATATTTACAAATAAGAATTTAGAATTTAAGTGGTCTTAAATTAAACTTTCTTATAATTGTTAGTTAAAGGTGCTATACGTACATCAGAATTTATAATGAGAAGGTTATTTTATAAGACTTATGTAAAAGGGTTGGGGTTTAGAACGATTCATCATATATACATGTTTTCCTTCACAGTTTAAAGTTACCTTATTTCGGATCTTCTCATTATTCTTTAAAGGTAACTGGATATTTTAAAACTTTGCAAAAAATTTTATTTAATTTAGGTCCTAATACGTCATAAAATAGTAAGATGGTAAAGTAGGGAACTATTTTAAAAAAAAATTTACTTATACTGTACTTGTGTTCAAGTTTTTTATCCTTTTTGTCCTCTGAGTATATGCATGGCTTGGGTGAAAGAAAAGCAATTGATCTATACTCATGCAAATAACCCTTTCAATTATGAATTCTTATAAACTGAACAAGTAATAGCTTTTCTAAAAAGCTAGCCGTCTCATAGCTGATGAAAGTGGAAAATGTTTTCTCTTTGTAGTTCAATTCGTTCAAAATTGTATGTAAATTGTAGTAGATAACAAAAATTATAAAAGGCTTATACCTTTTTTTAGATTTACCAATTTTTTATTTGGGGGGGGGGGGGGGGGGGGGGAGTATTAAAACTGGAAATTGGGGGTAATGTCGTTTTATCGATTATTTTTTTTCAAACAGATATCGGAGTTGATCGTTGGCTTTTTCTTTGGTTGTTTGCTTGTTTTTTGTGTTAGAAAAGTATGGGCGCTTCCACCTGAAAGTTTTTCGTTCATAATAGGCATCGAAAAGTGTAGAGACTAGAGAGTGAAACGTAGTAAAATTTAAACATATAAGAACACAATTAATATATTTCCAACGGTATCTCACATCTTTTCAAAAATGATCCTTAAATGTAAAGCTTCACATATATGTATGGTTATTTTTGTTGTCGATGAAGATTTTGTCTATTCATTGTAGTTGGACTGCAATGTGGAATGCCCCACGCCTTAACAATTAAATGTTTCTTTTTTCAGATTATTTGGTTTTATTGGACTTCTTGATTTTATTTTTTGATGAAAAATACTCAGAGACGTGAGACGGGTAATTTGTTATATAAGACCTATTGTAACCGCCTGAAAACAAAGTAGTTTCGCCGCCATTTTTTTTCAAATCATAATAGACGTCGTTGGTTATAAAGAAGGTGATAAGTTCTGCAAAGCTACTTTAAGTTCACTATGAGGCCATCAACATAAGAGAATCAGCAAATTTGACCAAAACTTAATCAAGCATACAGCTTGATACTGTATCTTTTGTTATTGTTTTACTTGTACATATCTTCATATTTATTTACTATACCATTTAATGTTGGATGACGAATAAGGCCCTTATCATACTTACCCTTAAAAGCTTGACATACTGGATTGACATAATCTTTTGTGGGAGACCGTTCGTATGTTGACATATAAATGTCTTTTTGTTTTATGATCATAGTATATGTATGTTTATACTTGTTTTTACAATTCTTGTAGAAAACATACAATTAAGAATAATCTTTTAAAGTGCCAACAGTATTTTCGTCTTTTAAATTTATAATTTTCTTTTATTTCTCTTTCTCTCATTTAGCATGTCTAGTATAAATAGTCAATAAACCTCAAAACAAACATAAGAAGTTTGTTCCTGACCCTGCTCATAGTTCCAAGTAATATCTGAATTATTTTTTGCTATTAAGATTTTTTTTTGTAACAAAAAAAATGTTCCGGCGTGACATTTGTTCCGCTGGAACTTATTTCATAGGAAATATGTTCCACCGGAATTTATATCACAGAAAATTTTTACCCGGAATATATATTTTAAGAAAATATGTTCCAGCACTGTAAAATTTGTTCCGGAACTAATTTTTTTACTAAATGTTAAATAAGTTCCGGGTGTTATAGATTTACATGATGCATTAACTTTATATCAAGCAAAACATTCTATAGTTGTACCTGACAAGTTTAATATTCAACATTGAAGTCTTTAAACAGCACGACAACGTTCAAAATAAGGTAAATCTTTGAGAAATTCAAATTAAGTCAGCATATATATTGTACGTAGATAATATGATTAAAAAACAAATGCACAACTATGATTAACAACTGCGATAAATATTTAAAACACAATATTTAATTTTTTGTCTCGCCTTGACGGAGTCAAAAAGCGAGACAAAGGTATGCTGTTTCCGGCGTCGGCGGCGGCGGCGTCGTCAACAATGTATTAGTTTGTGATTAGGTCTAGTTTATGGCGAACCACAAGTGGTAGGTCAATCATATTTGGTATGCAGTTGTATTAGCATTGGCACATCTCATTTCCATGGAGATTATTTGGCCCTGCCCCCTCAGTCATGGTCTATTGACTTTGAAACTTTTGCTTATTTTACATGTATTAGTTTGTGATTAGGTCAGTTTATGGGGAACCACTAGTGGTAGGTCAATGATATTTGGTATGCAGTTGTATAAGCATTGGCATATCTTATTTCCATGGAGATTATTTGGCTCCCTTAGTCATGGTCTATTGACTTTGAGAATTTTGCTAAGTTAACATGTATTAGTTTGTAATTAGGTCAGTTCAAGGGGAACCATTTAGGGTAGGCAAATGTTAATTGGTATTCAGTTGTATAAGCATTAGCACATCTCATTACCATGGAGAATATTTGGCCCCGCTCCCTCAGTCATTGTCTATCGACTTAGAAACTTTTGCTTAGTTTACATGTATTAGTTTGTGATTAGATCAGTTTAAGATGAACTGCTAATGTTAAGTAAACGATATTTGGTATGCAAATTTATTGGCATTTGCAAATATCGTTTCCATGGATATTATATAGCCTCACCCCCTCTTCATGGTATTGACTTTGAAACTTTTACATAGTTTATAAGTTAATGTTTGTGTTTAGGTTTGTTTAAAGGGAACGACTTATAATAATTCAATGGTATTTGGTATGCAGTTGTATTAGCTTTGGCACATCTCATTTACATGGAAATTGTTTAGCCATGTACCTCAGTCATGGTTCATTGACTTTGAATATTTGCATAACTTATGAAACATGTTAAAGTATTGCTATTTTAATTTCAACATTTGCATAATCAAAATTACAAAAGGATGAGACATATTTCTGTGATAACAGTTTATCTACAAATTCTGATATGAAGTAACATATGTTGAATTGCAATATTCATAAATAAATGATTGATCTATAAAAAATTTCTGACGGATTTTTCTTATTCTTCGCTTATCTGCCTCATTAAATTATTGTCATTTGGATATTTTTGTATGGATAATGTAATTAAACATTTTGCTATACTCCACAGAATCCATATTGGATGTTTACACCTTTTATTTATTACATTATCAATATAATACATGTTTTTATAATGTACTTGAATTATAACTTTAAGCTCACTGATAACAATGCTCAGTATAAAAGATAACTTGTATAACCAGTGGAACATATTTCACAGACAAGGAACTTATTTCACCAGGTAAGGAACAAATCTCACAAACCTGGAACTTATTTCACTAGGTAAGGAACAAATTTCACAAACCCAGAACTTATTTCACCAGGTAAATTGTGAAACTTATTTTATAGAGATGGAACAAATCATATAGAAATTATCTGTGAAAAAAGTTCTCCCAGAATATATTTCCTGTGATATTTGTTCCACTGGAACTTTTTTCACAGGAACTAATTTTGGCTCACATATTCACAACTATTCTATATATTATAGTTAGACTTGGGAGGATAAAAAACTTTAAAATGTTGTAATGACATGTCCATTGAAGAAGACCGTAGATTGAACTTTAGAAGTAAATTGTCACGTTTTGTTTGTTGCTTAATTGGGTTGCTGTCTAAATTAATTATGTATACTTCACATCTCCTTTAAAATCATTCATAGAAATTAAACATTGCTTAAAATATGTTAGCATACATCGTCTGAGAGTAGTTTTTTTGCTCTTCTTATATTCCCTTTTAGATATATTTTTAGTCTTCTGTTCTTCAACCTCTGCTATATCTTGCTAGGAAGAGCTAGCTAGGTAGATCTAGACAACATCCAACTCAGCCAAACGATCTTGGGGTGTGTGTGGGGGCACTTATTATGTAATGAGTGGAAAGGATGAGTCGCTGGGATAGGTCACTATTTGAAGCTTCATGGAATTGCATGAGGTCGAGAAATTTAGGTGAAATATAAGACAAGGTTGATGATTGAATCTGAAACTAATCAGATGTCGATATTTTTTTACAGATGCAATTAAAATCACCAGAGATTGTGTATATATGTCTCTAAAATCACTTTCGTAAATGTTTAAGATATTTGTCAAATCTATTTACTAGTATCTCCCCATGAAATAGCGTAACAATGATAGCTATGTGCAGGTATATATACTTATTGTAAAAAATATATGATAGCTAGGGTAACTACATGTATGTTCTTTTATCATTCAATATATATAGTCAAATGCGTTTTGTTAAAATATACTTTTTCACTCATTTGGTCTTTTGGAAAATGTTGTTTGTGCTGTATTTAGACCCCTCTACCAAGGAATTTGTTTTGCATGCACACGTATAAAAATTGCGGTTTTTATCCAACGCAATCATAGGTTTGAACGTTGTTTTTAATTTAGACTTGTTTATATTTTTTCGTTTGGGCTTGTATTATATTTGCCTTCGGACTTATATGATCCGTTCATCCTATTTTGACTCTTTTAAAATTCAAGAGTCTATCCTAAATTGAGGTAAATTATATGGCCTTCCAAATACCGTTTCGATTCCTAACATCACTGAAGAGACATTAATTGTCGAAATCCGGATATGGTGTACAAATGTTTGCACCTCATGTTTGCGGTATACCATCTTTTCCGCAAGTTTATTGTTTTCTGTTTGGTAATAAATTAATGATAAGATCTAATTGTTACATCTTGTGATCCGTTTATTTGTCAATCGCCAATGGCAGTCAGCAGGGTTTAAGCACATCAGTTGTTCGACCTGCTAGTCAAATGCGTTTTGTTAAAATATACTTTTTCACTCATTTGGTCTTTTGGAAAATGTTGTTTGTGCTGTATTTAGACCCCTCTACAAAGAAATTTGTTTTGCATGCACACGTATAAAAATTGCGGTTTTATACGTGTGCATGCAAAACAAATTTCTTTGTAGAGGGGTCTAAATATATATATATATATATAAAGGGTGGGGTATTGGATGTCTCAGCTGCTCACCTCTGCCAAAGAAAGGTCGAAGTGCCGCCGCCGCCGCCCCCGCCCCCTGAGATAAAAATTCTTGTGTAAATTAATATTAATCGAACAGAAATTATTTGATATCTCCGTTTTAAAATGTTTGTGTTGCCTTTAGATTATCTTACTGAGTAGGGGGCCTCGGTGGCCGAGTGGTCTAAGTAGTTACTACTGTAATAACTAGCCAGTCAACACTGAGGTTGTGAGTTCGAACCCCGCTCGTGAGGGTGCACTCGACTCCAATCTTAATTGACTAGGATTGTCAGTTTTCCTATCGAAGGTCGGTGGTTTTCTCCGGGCGCTCCGGCTTCCTCCACCAATAAAAACTGGCCGCCACGAAATAGCCCAAAAGCGGTGCTTAAAAGTGGCGTTAAAACACCAAAAATCAAATCAAATCAAATCTTACTGAGTATAAATAAATATAACCTAAGAAAAAGGCATTTTCCTAAAAGTTTTCTTATGTTTTCACGTATAAAATGTACGTAACATGAAATAATCACGTGTGTTTACAAATCTTCAGGAGATTTGGCTATTTATAGATAAGTGTTACCTGTGTACCGATATGCATGATTGGTAACCAGGCAAATCTATTTACTAAAATAAAGAGTTCAGATCCGACACTCTACGGGATTAAAAGACATTTACTAGGTTTGAATTGTCCCAACCAATGAACGAAATTTAATTATGACAGCGTCAGTAATATCTTCCAATTAGGTAGTAAGAAAGCTTTCAGCCCGCAGACTGTCCATCGTTCAACTCTTAATACCGTCTCCGAGGAGACGGTAATAAAAAGTAATCAAACAGAACTCAAACTATAGGAGATGTGGAATAAACTTCAATTTGACAGCAACCAAACGACAAAAACGCCATAGGTAAATCAGATATGTCTTTGAGTAAAAGCCAGTTTCTATTGTTTCACTGTTTTTATTTCAAATAGCGCAATTAAACAATCACTTTTTCCAAATATATTTTTTCTAACAAAGCATCAAAGAAAAGATCAACAGCCCTTTTATCATTACTACTTAGCAACAAGGAAACATAATTTACCAGTTAAAGATTGGTTGGATCAATTTTCAAGGTGATCAGACATTACACAAGAAGAGCGCGTGCCCCGTAAAAATGTTAACTTGTATTTGTAGTATTTGTATTTTTATCCATCTGATGAGTTAAGCCTCTTTCAACTGATTTTTATAGTTCGTTCTTATGTTGTAGTTACACCACTGTCCCAGGTTAGGGGGAGGGTTGGGATCCCGCTAACATGTTTAACTCCACATTCTGTATGTATGTGCCTGTCCCAAGTCAGGAACCTGTAATTCAGTGGTTGTCGTTTATTTATGTGTTACATATTTGTTTTTTGTTCATTTTTTGTACATAAATTAGGCCGTCAGTTTTCTCGTTTGAATTGTTTTACATTGTCATTTCCGGGCCTTTATTAGCTGACTGTGCAGTATGGACTTTGCTCATTGTTGAAGGCCGTACGGTGACCTATAGTTGTTAATTTCTGTGTCATTTGGTCTCTTGTGGAGAGTTGTCTCATTGGCAATCATACCACATCTTCTTTTTTATGATAACTTTTAAATCTCTTAAGATTTTCGAACCAACTTTGAACATATTTTTTTACATTATAATAATCAATCTTAATTTACAATCTTGGTGCATATTTAACCTTTCCATTCATATCCTTAGTTCAGACGACATAGTACTATTGGCAGAAAGTGCTGATGATTTACAGAAACAGCTGGATTCTTTCAGTGAATACTGTAATATTTGGAAGCTTAAAGTTAACTAAAGTGATGATTTTTTGTAGAGGCAGAATGCCGTCAAATTTACATTTTTATATAGCTATAGACGGCACTGACATTGAAAATATTAAAAGAATTTAACTATTTGGGCATATTATTATCTAGAACTGGTAATACTAAAATAGCACAGAAACACCTAGCAGAAAAAGCCACACAAGCTATGTTTAAGGTGTTGAAATCAGGCCGCATACATGATCTTTCCACTCAGTGTCACTTAGATCTTTTCTATAAAGTTGTGAAACCCATACTTTTGTATGGATGTGAAATTTGGGGGCATGGTGATGTTGAAATTATAGAAAGAATCCATCAGAAATTCTGTAAACTTCTTTTGAAACTGAAAATTCCACACCTAGCTATATGGTATACGGAGAACTTGGTAGATATCCTTTAAATTAAAAATAGTATCTTATTGGTGTAAATTAGTATCTGCTAAAGAGACTAAGTTATCTTCTATCGCATATACACTATTAAAAACACTATTTACTGTTAATAATGTATGTACATTTTTTGTGAGTGAAGATAAAAATATATTGGATGAATGTGGTTTTTCAAATATTTGGATTTCTCAATGTTTTGGTAATGATATATGATTAAAAAATGCACTAAAGTTGCGATTACAAGACCAATACAAACAGTTGTGGAATACACAATTTCAAGAGTCTACATAATCAGTAAATTATAGAATTTTTAAGTTAGAATTAAATTTTGAAAAAAAATATTTTGATATGTTGGATATGCACGAAAGTATTATTTTATGTAGATATAGAACCACAAACTACAGACTCTCAATAGAGACAGGGAGGTGGAAAAATGTTAATAGAAATGAGAGAAAATGTCATCTTTGTAATATTGGTAGCATTGGAGACGAATTTCATTATCTGCTAGAATGTCCATTTTTTAACGACAGTAGAAAATTATACCTTGATAAGTACTATTTGGCTTATGTTAATACACTAAAGTTTAGAAAATTGATGAGCAAATTAAACAAAAATATAGAGCTAAAAAGATTATGTAAGTTTATAAAGTGTATAAATAAACATGTGGGTCTTCCTAGCTAAAATGTATATTATTTGGAAACCACTGTATTGTATATATGTTTTGTAAATAGATGCATATTCATGTACATATTTTGCACTCTCTCTGTACCTATGTATCTGCAATGGTTATGGGAATAAAGATATTGGTATTGGTTTATATGAACTCGTCAAGCTTCGGTGGATTCAACCAACACTATGATAACTGGACACATTATACAAAAGTCGGCGCGTGCCATGTAAAATGTTAATAACTCTTTCATTTCTAAATACATTTACACCAAAATTTAAATATATGCTCTTTATTTACAACATTATCATACTGAATGATCTTGGTACTTATATGACTGTTCCATCATGGGCTCAGTGCAGTTTTCAGAGCTTAGTGCACCAAGGCGGCCTAGGTGGTGTTTAGAC